TTGTACTTCTTAAGTAAGCTTTAAACATCTTAAAGTATACTTTTAAGTTTCTATTAACTTATTTATAATTAAAAATACATTTCACCTTCACCACGCATATAAACTAAATCGAGGGCTGGAAAAGATTTAGTAGCGAACGAAACGATCTACAGATATTTTAAAAACTTTCATATGATATTAATAACATTTATAGACAACTTTGCAATGTCTTATTTGCTACGATAAATACAAAAGGTTGAAGTAATCTAACCTACCGCATAGACGGTTAAACTAATGTTTTAAACGTTCCTCCATTTCATAGAATACATTGGCATCTCTTTGGAGGACGAAAACCCGGTGCGCCGTCCCTACGGGAGTAGGATAAGGCAGGGGAGATGATGATGACATTGGCATCTCTTTCTCTCAGTAAAGATAGATACAACCTTCATTTATATATTCCTAGGAATTTCTAGGTTAGATCACTAAAAATTTATCTTAAAAACGCCACTAACTGGATCTAGAGTGAGTGTTAAAGCATATGAGAATATCTAACCTACCGCATAGTTTAACTAATTAATTAAACTTACCTCCAATAAAAAAAATAATTACTATTGAAACGATTTCATGGAATAGAGAAAACTTTCATTTATTACTAGGAATTTCTAGGTTAGATCACTGTAAAAAATTATCTTAAAAAACGCAACTAACTGGATCTACTCGTAGAGTGCTGAAGCGTATTAGAAAATGCAGTGTTAAATGCTAAAGTTCAAGTTGGGGTGGTGCCACCTACCATCATTAAAAGGTGTTTACGGCGCACCAGCTGAGTGCGACAATTGACGACAACGGGTGGTCCAAGGGGACGTCTAGCCATGCACAGTGCAAGACATGAGCGAAAGGATGTTTGGAAAGCTGTACTTCAGTAGGGTTTACAATAAAGTAAGTCTTCACTATTTGAATACTAACCTCGTAAAAATGTAAAAATATTATAGGTTAGGAATTTTTATTAAATTTAATGTAATCATGTTAAAACTTATTAGCAATGAATTTTAGAATATTGTTTTAAGTATATCTACTTGTTTAATATACTAGTTTAATAATATTTCCACATTATCAACGCTTACAGCTAACATTTGCACCCCATTCAACCCGTAAGCGAGAGATAGCATCTGGGCGGGCGGCGTCAGCCAGTAGCGAACGCGACCGCGACAGTAACAAACGCCTCAACTCCTGACGGTCCCGAAAACTCCTGCAATTAACTCCTGGCTGCGAACTCCTTACTATTAGCTGCTGTGTACAAAGTGCAGTGAAAGTGCTGCTTGTGTTATGTGGAATTAATCTGGATGACGTTAATTTTTGGTGAGCATTGAAATTACTTTTTATACAAATTTGATTGTTGTTTTGTTTTTAATTATGAATTAATTTATTTACAAATTAGCTGCATAAATTTTTGTTTAATAATATGGTAATTGTTATTTTTTAAGACTATTAAACACTTTAATAGTAGGTGTAGGTATATTTAATTACATTATTTAGAAATTGCATTATGGAAAATTGCCCTGCTCTTGTAGCAACTCTTTTATGAGAAAAATAAAATCAATCAAAAGTGGTTATATTAAATTAAAAATAATAAATAAATTATAAAGTTTTAGCATAAATGATTGATGGAATTAGGCAGTTTCGAATCCAACGCTACCTGACGGATAAAATGTCTTAATACGGGTAAAAAACTACATGTGGAAGTGTACCTTGTACATCTTGTTTTTATTATTTTTCGAGACACGATTATTGCGCACTTGATCATCGTTGTTTTCTTGATAGCTAACGTAATTATGATAACTGTTGCATCTATACAATTATGTCTTTTCATTTAAACTGTTACCTCTGAAACAATCTCTTTATCGCTTTCCTTTCGTCAATTGCATCTACAAATTCTGTTAAGGTTAAGATTCAAATATCCACGTTTCAAAATTTTGCTTATGACCGGTTTCCCAGCTACGTTCAATCATTATTTAGTTCGTTCTATAACTTCATGAAATATGTTTCCGAACTACGTAAATTGAGTTCTACTCCGTTGAAACAAGCCAACCTAATAATTAATCGCTTAATGATACAAATGGAAACTTCAGAAACCCAGCATTACTCCTTTAATTTAAATAGAATGAAGACGTTGTTACGGTGATGGAAAACATCGTGGTGATGAAGTCGTGTGAGTCAACCCGCACTGGGCTAGTGTATGACTATGGCTTGACCACCACTAAGGGTAGTCTCAGTGCCTCGGACAGTAAGCTGATGATAAACAGAATGGCAATATTTACTTTGGTTCTATTATGATAAATGAATATTTTAATTTGATGCAACAGATGTTAATGTTTATCCAACAATATCAAATATCACTTTTTCATATATGGAACTACTCAAAGAGTCGTTTATCTTTGCGGTTTATGATGTAATTTTATGTTTGTTTGTGTTTCCTATGCATTTCTAAATCAATCAGAATTGCAATCGTGACAGTTTTTTGTTTATGTTTTTATTGGATGACTATTTTGATGGTGTTGAAGCTGTTATTTAGTTTGAATTTGATAAATGAAATGACGATCTTTTTTGAGTTTACTACATGTTGGTGCTGGCATAGGCGCCGCTAAGCGATGATTTATTCCAAGTGTAGGCGACGCCCATGATCACTACTACCTTGGACTACAATTGTTTACGCTAAACAGAATATGTAAAATTAATATAAACTATTATGAAACCTCAAAGTTTTTTTTATTAACAGTTTTGTATATTGATTCTAGATGTCGGATTTTCCCTGTCTTTATATCAAAGGAATGAAGGCGCATTAGCGTTACACGCCTGTCATAACATTTCCAATTCCGTCCTCATAAATCTTTGATTTTCATGTCCTTCTTGTTTTCTTTGTTGATATCTTTTCTCTTATAATAGGATTTATGTGTAAATGGATCCGTGGCCGAGGAAAGTTTTCTTTCCGAAGTGTGAAGCCGTTGATAACAAAAATGTATTTCTAAGTGTATAAAATCTGACATATAAAAGCTGCATCTATAGGCTACATGTAGAGAGTTTTTAATGTATCTTTTTTATGTATTAAAAATGTATTCGTAGACGTGCTACGAGCTACGATTGAAGATGAGTTGTAGAGGAGATATCCGTATTCTCAATAATTCTTATTTACCTATTTTAAAAGTCCTTCATGACAGACAATTTCACTACTCATAAGGCTAACTTGTACTCACAGTCATACTAATGTAAATTACTAAGGTGTCCACTAAATAGTCGCCAGTAAGTTCTAAATGAATACTAGACAATTAAAAATGTAATCGCCTAGAGCATATGATGCTAAATTTATTGGTAATAATCTATTATCTAATCTCATTCAATGAATAATGTAATAAATTCATGTTTTACTACCTGTTGCCCGCGACTTCATCAAATATTAAGATAAAGAAGTAACCTGTAATATGAAAGCTATGACAAGCTACCCTTTAGTGAAAGTCCGGTCGTAATCAGCCCAGAAGTTTTGGAGGTTACCCGGAATAAACGCGGCTTGCGGACACACAGACAGACAGACAAAAAATCTTTAAATCCGATTTTCCTTATCAGCAACGCAATTACATAATCTTCCCGAAACTTGGAATTTTCTGATATTACAAACAGACACCAATTTTATTATATGTATAGATGAGTTGCTAGCCGTGAGCTTCCACTGCAAAATAATGTAAAAAGTATGGTTATAATTGTTTTATTAAAGTGAATGAAAGAGACGACAATATGTTGAGCTTTCGCTGCTGCGTACAAAAAGAAGTAGAAGACGGTAATGGTTATGACTAATTCCAGTCTTAACGTCTTCGGAATTACCATCCTGTCCTTATCACACGCATGTATTTTGTTCATCAGTGTTTGGTGATCTCGGTAACTTCCTTCTTGATCACCAATGAAATGGTAAAGCAGATTCAGGGAACACTCTAATATCTCGTCTCGGATGTAAATATTCGAAGGCGTAATGAGGTTAAGTGTTTCGTTAGGAAGATTTTTATTAAGTAAATTTGCAAAGGACATCGTTGATTACAAGTATCGAGACTCGAAATTATTCTAATTAAGTATCGTTTACTCTCGAAAACGACGTTATAATAATTTTGTATAAACATCTCTATATTAAAACCTGTTATAAAATTGAAATGGAAACATTTGTAAATAAAAAGAGACAATGTAATTTGTGTCAATTTTGTTTTTATTAATTAAATCACATATTATATTCATATAAATATTATAAATGAGAAAGTTACGATGAGTGAATGGATGTTTGTAAGAGTTTGTAGCCTAAACGGCTGAACGGATCTTCATTAAATTTGGCACAGGTTTAGAGCATAGTCTGGAAGAACACATAGGCTACTTTTTATTCCGAGAATAGTTACGGTTCGTGGGATTCATTAAGTTATTTTTTTAATGTTTACTCTATCATTCTGCAACGGTTCAACATATCTTATTGAAATTTGGCACAGATATAAAACAAAGTCTGGAGTACACATGGGATAAGTTTCATCCCCGAGAAATGTCCAGTTCCCGAGGGATACGTAGCTATTTGCTATTTATATAGTTCTTATGTTAATAATTAGTCGCACTTTGATTCTTATGAGCTTGTAGGTGTGTACACTACTCGATTTTAGTTGTGCAACTAAACAGTTGGATTGGCAGCGAAACAATCGACAATCGCACAACAGTTGTGCGATAGTTTAGTCAAAGGTGTGCACCCGCTCTAAGGATTAGTCTGCCCTTATTTATATAAACAAGGTGAAATGTATATAATATAAACATTACGTTACGTTTCCTGTGTTATATAGAAAAGGATAGCCTTTGTCCGAATACATGTAATATTTTTTTATTGCGATAAAACCTTCGAAATCACCCGCCTGTGGAATATAATACGAGTGTCAATTGATTTATCTCTTGTCTGTACAAGCAATATTTTATGGGTGTCGGATTCAACCGTTCTCTCGATTTATTGCTTACATACTTTTACCCGTGATTTCACTCGTAATTTCCTGAAATAATTATTTGATAGGTAATAATAAAGTTTGTCGCGAATGTGTTTTTTTTGTTACCTTATTATTAAAATATTTTTTGTTTTGAACACAATATATCTTTGTTATGGCCGGTTATCCAGCTAATTTTAACCATTCGTTAGTGTTATTGGTGCAATAAATTTTAGGAATGCGTTTCAGAACTACGTAACTTGAGTTTTATTCTGTTAAAAACTTAGTTCAACCTAACCCAAATGAATCAATAGTCTTACCAATATTATAAACTAGGTTTTTCCCGCGACACCGTCCGCGCGGAATTAAAAAATAAACAAATGCAAAGCCTATGTGTTCTTCCGGACTATTCTCTACATCTATGCTAAATTTTATTGAAATCCGTTCAGCCGTTTAGGCTACAAACTCTAACAAACATCCATCCATCCATCCATCCATCTAAACTTTCGCATTTATAACATTAGAATGATGTGAAAGTTTAGATGGATAGATGTTTGTTAGTGTTTGTAGCCTAAACTGCTGAACGGATCTCGATGAAATTTGACATAGATATAGAGGATAGTTTGGAAGAACACATAGGCTTACTTTTTTTTTTTTAATTAAAGTCGCGGGCGAGAGATAGTAACAAAATAAGTGGAAAGTTCAGCAACACAGCATTAATTATCTTTTTGTTGGTATAACTGTTATTGTAATTGTTAATCTCTTGTTTTTCAATAAAATTATTTCTATTTCTATTTTCTATTGCTTGTTTTTAGTCACCGGGAAATTATATCTATAGAAATGTTATATTGATGATAAAGGGTTCAATTTTGTAACAAAATTTACATGTCCGATTGCCTATCTCTTGTCCCAATAGTTGAGAAGGTCGCTGTTTGTCAATAGTCGGTAATAAACTAACAGATGTCATAAAATATTACCCAATCCACTCAGAAAGGATTTCATATCATAAAGTAGTTAGAATCGGACTATTAAATTGTTTATGTTTATGGATTCGTGGATTTAACCAAAAATGGATTGGTTACTTGCTTATCTAACTAATATTATATATGCGATGGTTTGATGTTAGTTAGAGTTTTGTAAACTGCTGAACAGATCTCGATTAAATTTGGCATAGATGTAGTGAATACAGAAAAAAACATAGGCTACTTACTGTTTTTTTTTAATTCCACGCCACCGAAAGCTAGTAGTTTATAATTTATAGTGTTTTAGATTGTACCATTCTAGGTGTTGACTGTGACTTTACTAATGGAATCTAAAAAAAAAAACTGAGTTAATCTATGCGCTAATCAAGACTATTATATCACCGTTTCT